TAATAATAATAATAATAATAATAATCTGTCTTCTTTTATTCTATAGGGGATGACTGAGGAGGAAGAAGACAAACTGTTAGCACTGAAAGACTTTATGTTAAAATCAAATAAAGCTAAAGCCAATATAGTGGACCAGAGCCACCTGCATGACAGCAGTCAGAAAGGCGTGATTGACTTGTCAGCTCTGGGAATAACTGGGAGACAAGTGGATCTGGTTAAAACAAAGCAGGAGTCTGATGATAAACGTGGTTGGTATATTTTATGGTCTGTATAGAAAAATAATAGCCTTTCTTTCAAGGTCAGAGAATTAAGTCTTTAATTTGCCTAGCGTGTGTTCTCAGTAATTCAGCCTACATAACTATCACCATCCTCACTGAGTTTGCAATAAGAAAATTACTGCTGTTATTTGAAATGTGAGGTGCTGGAATGCTCTGTGGATCAGCGAAAGACGGGGATGTTTTTCCCCTGAGAGTATTTAAATTAGTTTGACTGCATTTGCAGTAGTAATATGCACAGGTTGTTTAGCTGATTGTGACAAATGGGACTCTACTGACCCATGGTAACAGTGTAAATTATGAAGGCTACATTCTGCTATCTCTGTTTCCTCTCAAGAAGTGATGAGCTCTTTAATGGTGAAAATCCAGGATATTTTCTTGAGTTAGCCTGGAGGAAACAGGGGCCTATGTGTGATGCTGAAACAGGCACTGAGGAGTGCCAGCTGTTGCTCACCCACCACGTATGTGCTTTTTGACCTTAGGCAGCTTCAGCTGCTCATCCACCCCCATTTACTTTGTTGCCTGCTCCTCTTTCAGCTTGAAAAACTTCTTATATTTCCTTGTTCAGCTTTGAAATCTACTTGCTGCTAACTCTATTCCAATTCTCTGTATCCCCAAAATTATTATCTTCTAGACAGTGAGCTTCCTCTTTGCTCTGTCAAGCCCTCTGTAAACCACTGATAGGTTCTCTGTTTGGAGATGTCAACATACAGAAATATCTGCACACTAGGTAGCTATTGCCATCTTATTTACAGGATTAAGATGCTAGTCTGCACATCCCTTGCATATAATTTTAAAGGAAAGTATGTAAATATAGAATTTTTCGGAATTTTTTCAGGAGTCGACAGGATTTAAAAGTTATTGTATGCAGTCTGTATTTGCATTGATTGATTTCATCCAAAACTGTCACCTGCAAAGTCTTCACGCTTTTAGCTTCTTCACTGACTTTGTCTAAATTTCGTTTGGCTTTCTGTATTTTACAGTTTTAAGTGACTCCAGACGAATGCTGAAAATAAATAAATTTCCTATTTACAGATAACATTATTGAATCTACAGTTAGCATTGCAATTGTGATGGAAGACTGACTGTATTTGACACGGTCAATGATTTACATATTGTTCTATTACAAATTTATCCTTGTCTTATGCCAGTAATGGAGTCACTCTCATTACAAAAAATTACCGTGAGAAGTCTAATTCTGCAGCCTCCTAGATGCAAAGTTTCCCTATACAGGAATTAGGATTAAGAAGGTGTAAACAGAGCATGTGCCCATGTGTGTTCTGTTTGCCTCATAAATCCCTGTCAGTTGGCTCTAACAACCTAGCAGTACATTTTTCTCTATTAACTATATAAATAATAAATTAGCATGTAGACATTGGACTCGCACGTAGTCTTTAAAGTAATGACCAGCCTGAGTGAATGTTGTCATGATTATGTTTTGGGTTTTTTCTCTCCCTGCCCCTCCTCCCTCCTGGTTGCTTATAGCTAGAAAACATGTAAAGCAAGATTCAAATGTAAATGAAGAATGGAAAAGCATGTTTGGGTCCCTGGAACCAACTAACATCTCCCAGCCAATAACCAAAGGACATGGGCAGGCTACTGATCCTGAAGCCATCCAGACTGGGAAGCCACTTCGTTCAGAGTCCTCAGCTGGCATTTGTGCCACTTTGTCATCCTCCCCACAGGTATTGCTGAAGAATACTATATTCACATCTTGAACTGAAATTATTCAGTTGCTTTAAAGCCAAGTGGGACTACAGGGATGTGGTGTTTCTGTTTTGTTTGGAGGTTATTTTGCACTGGTGCTATTCCCTGTCGTCTTCTCCAGCAGAGTAGCTTGACTTATATTTAAAACAGGGTTTGAGAGAGGATGGAAGTAAATTTAGTCACTTGAACAGAAGAACTTCACTAAGAAATAGATGCTTTGCACGAAGAGATAGGGCTTTGTGGATTAGCCAGTTATTAGGTAAGCTGTTCTGGCAGGGAAGACTTATCCACAAATTGCATACCCTGATACATGTTGTGAGGAGGAGAAGGATGTCATGATTTTAACTTGGAACTGGTGTAGGACATCATGGCTGCATTTAGACATCCCGTACCTGTAATACTCAGTACTGGCTACAGAAGGATGGGCTGGGAGCCCTGCAGGCTGTGGAGGCATCTCTTGACACTGAACGCTTCTTTCTATTCTCTTTCTAGTTGGAGATTAACTTCCACTAACTTTAAATGAGTGTCCACTCTGAACTAAGAGGGAGACACTTCACACATTTATTTTTAAAGCCCAATATAAACAAATTATCATTTAAGAGCTAACCTGTAGTTCTGCCAGTCCTGAGAGCAATAACTGCTTCTGTAATAATTACATTAAGAGGTATACGTGGCACATTACAATTTCTACAAATAGAATACAGAACAGACTAGGCAAACAGGATAGAATAAGTGAACAGTTAAGCTTTTCTATAAATGATGTTTTTCACTATTTTAAATTGTTTTCATGCAAGCATGATTTTTAAAAAAATGTTAACTCATTGCTAATTGATTCAATAAAAAGGATTTTTCCACTTTTCTTCAGTGTGACCCAGTAATCTTAAGAGCAGAATTTATCTGTGTGTAGAATGTAAGGTGTATGTTTTTAAGTGCTTATCTTTTATAGGCATCTGATGGAACAGTTGTTCAGCCCAGGAAACCGACCATACAGGTACTGAGCAGTACAGCATCCCCATCTGCACACCAGTTACGCATCACCACTTGCAAAACTGAACTTCAGCAGCTGATCCAGCAGAAGCGAGAGCAATGTAATGCAGAAAGACTTGCCAAACAGATGATGGAGAATGCTGAGTGGGAGAGCAAGCCTCCACCTCCAGGTAAATCACAGGCCACTGATGTTATTATACAAAATAAATATATGTAACTTGAGTCAAAACATTATCATCTCAAGATAAAAAATGCAAAAGATGAAGAAAAGAGGAAATTATTAGTTTAGGAAGTGTGCCTACTATGCAGAACACCTATTTGGCAAAATACCTCCATGACCTATGTAGAGGGGTCTGGAGCTGAGATCCTTACCTTTGCAGTAAAGGACCTAAACCACTGGTGTGAAGTCCAGGTTGTGCACTTTGTTCCAGTGAGTTTTCTGAAGTGGGTTGTTTGTAACTGCGTATATGCAGAGGACTTTCCATCCTGTAACAGCCTGTAGCTTGATTTGGGCAAGGAGAGAAACACTCTATTGGGAGGTGGGAAATGGGAGTATTTTGCCTGGGGTGACTCCAGATTTTCAGCCATCCTGTGAGTGTTGTAACCTCTTGGCCAGGTTTCCTTACCTGTGTGCATACCGGGTGGGCTGTTTGAGCTGCCCTGTGTTACAAAGGAGCCTGTCCCCACAAGCAGTGGTGACAGCGACAGAGTACCCAGCCACAAAGCGAGGATGAGCGTCCCTGTACTACACTGTTGCTTTCAGAGAGGAAGGAGAGACCATTTTACCTCTTGTGTTAGAAGTGCAGCCAGATGCTTCTGCATTGCGTATTTCAGAGGAGGAAACATCACACAAATGCTGGCAATTTCTTGGCAAGAGTTACTGCATGGCAACTCAACTCCTCAATTTATATTTGAAGTTCTGGAATAAATTTTCTATGGGATTTAGAAGAGCTGTTATTTCATTTTATTAGGTACGTGAGGCTGCCAATGTATCATGTAGTACAGCACTGAGCCTGGCACTTCAGGCACTCTACAGACAATCCAGGAACTTAAGTCTGTTCATATGTGTTGCACATTATGTGCATTTTGGGCATTTATGGGCTTGCCATATGCAGCACAGCAATCTGCACAGGCTGACAGCAGAACCGTGCACTTGTGTCTCTACAAGGTCTATAAAGAAGGGCTCTTTGTAATTTCACTGAATGCACATGGAAACCATCTAAAAGAAAACTCTTACCCAGGTCTGCCAATAGAGTTTAGTTTAGAATTGAGCAAAAAATAGGCTTTTTTGCCTTTAATGTTTAAATTGTATTATTAGCTCTACGTTTTCAGTGCTTTCTGTGCTTTGCAGCTGTAATGACTTTAGCCCAATATAGCTGTTGGTGGATCAGGAGAATTTTCATGTTCCTATTAAGTCATGAAATCAACACTGAACTTCATGATTTTGTTTTTCCCTGCAGGTTGGCGTCCCAAAGGATTGTTGGTTGCTCACCTTCATGAACACAAGTCTGCGGTGAACCGCATTCGAGTCTCTGATGAGCACTCCATTTTTGCCACTTGCTCAAACGATGGCACAGTGAAAATCTGGAACAGTCAAAAAATGGAAGGAAAAACCACTACAACCAGGTAGATTTAAAAATTATAAGATTTTGGGGCTGCTGTTTTAGAGTGCAAAATAAATTAGAGCAGGGAGCAAAATATGGATCACTTGTGAGTGTGCTAGAGTTTTCAATAATGAAATATATTGGTGTTCCTCTTTGCATGCAACTACAAAATATTAGATTGCTGTTTCAATTAGTTAATAAAAGAAAAAATATTGCTAGGAAATGCAAAGAAACTGCTTCATAGTTGTAGTAATTACAGGCTTTTTGATTTCATTTCTGTACAGCCATAAATATATTCTGGTGCTGCTGTTTAAAGCCATCTGAGGTTTTTGGAACAAATTAGCTTTGTGCTTAACTGTCTCATCCACTGATATTTGATGCAGGAAAGCTGTGTTGTGGTTGAAACATGGGTGATATGGTGCTGGCCATCTCTGTGAGAGAGGTATCTTTGGAGAAGTGGATGTCTGTCACAAAGTACTTTGAAAAAGATGTAGCGGACTCCACTGTCTATAGTATGCTACTTTGACAGACATCTAGGTTAGACTTTTACTGGTAGACAAATGTGTGCATCTGCAGTTGGAGACTGTCATAACCTAGAGGCTCAAAGATGAGGAGTTGAGCTTGCAGGGGCAACTTAGGCTACAGTTGCTTCCTGATTTTGGAATACTTCGAAAATGTTATTTGGAGAGCTCTCCCAAGAGTCATTGGTTTTAAGTAGGTGTTTGAGAGAAGTGTATTTTTTTAATGTGCCATAAAAGATTTCCTCTTTCTTTTCCCCCTTCTCTCTCTACTGTTTAGATCAATTTTGACGTACTCTCGGATTGGAGGACATGTAAAGACACTTACATTCTGCCAGGGCTCACATTACTTGGCTATAGCTTCAGATAATGGTGCCATCCAGCTTCTTGGTATCGAAGCTTCAAAGCTCCCCAAGTCTCCTAAAATTCATCCAATACAAAGCAGGTATGTACTTGGAGCAGTTAGATCTCACCGCAGAGCTCAAGCCGTTAGTGTATCCCTTGATTTGCTCCAGGTTTCCTGCTGGCTGAGCCCAGGCTGTACTGGGAGGCTGTAATCCATAATCCATGATTCTGCTTCATAATGAAGGGTTGAAAGGCAACTGGAGGGCTGAGGATTGGCAGCTGTAGGTTATTGCTGCCTCCTGTGTCACTGGACTCATTATGAGCTTGAAACAACCAGTCTGAATAGTTCTCAGGTCTTTTATTTATGCACTGGGATTAGTAGTTTCCTACCTTCTCTGTTAAAATGTTAATACTTATAAAGTAATGCAGGAGATTTTTTTTAAGTCATTAGAAAAACGTTTACAAATGTACAACACGTGGTTTGGCCTCAGGCCTGCAATTTTTTCTCGCAGGCTTTTAATGTTTGTAAGATATGGGGATGGGATACTATTTAGGGGAGTATTGAGGAATGGTTTAGCTCTTTCTTACCTATCTCTATATGAGCAGTTTCTGAGTATTTGGCACTGTTTCAACAGCTTAATCTTCCATTTTACGTGAGGGACATGTTCAGCCCCCAGCCAATCTAGCAACCATCTCAAAGACGTCTTTTATGTCCAGAGTAAAAGCAAGGTATCTGTCTCAAATGCCCTCTGTTATTTGGGATTAGGATCAGAAATGAAACAAGCCAAATCTAATGGAGATGGAAACAACAAACTGGATTTTCCCTTTTGGTATACACTGCATTTGTGCCTGAAGAAGTGGTTGACAGTGTTGGCAGTAAAACATGTTCCTGCCCGTAACCTCTGGGTAGATGAATATCTGATAAACATGGAGCATGAATGAGAGAGAAGTATCACACACACAGAGACCCAGAGCACAGAGCTATGTATGTTTGCAGAGAGCTGCTGACAGCACTTTACTAGCCTGTAGAAGGCTTGCAGGTCCTATCGGCAGAGAGATTTGAGACAGCATAAGCATCTGTTGTACTAAAATTGGAAAGTTGTTTCTAGCAGATGCCTTGAGAAGTGACATGAATAGAAAAATGCTGCTCAGCATTAGCTACTGGAAGGAGTCTTAAACTTGGAGGGAGTCATGCCTGTTTCTAAATCAGTTTATTCTTTTAACCCAGGTCCTTAGATCTGAAGGATGATGGCTCTGTGGTAGATATGCATCACTTCAATTCAGGAGCCCAGTCAGTACTGGCTTACGCTACAGTTAATGGATCTCTGGTTGGATGGGATTTGCGATCTAGCAGCAACGCTTGGACACTGAAACATGATTTGAAGTTAGGCCTCATAACTTCATTTGCTGTGGACATACACCAATGCTGGCTGTGTATTGGTAAGCCTGTATTTCTTCTTGGCTTCTCTCTCTTCCCCCCACTCCACTTCTGGTTTGCTTTTGTTCTGATTTGACTAGAACCTAGGAACAGAGTACAAGGATATGGGCAAAACCCCTTATATTTTTCCCTCTGACTATGGGGAGCTTTGTCTCACCAGGAACAAGCAATGGTACCATGGCATGCTGGGACATGAGGTTTCAGTTACCAATCTCCAGCCATTCTCATCCTTCTAAGGCCCGAATCAGACGCCTGCTCATGCATCCTGTCTATCAGTCCTGGGTAATTGCAGGTAAGAGATGTTTTAAGCTTACCTTACAGTTGCCAGAGGCTGCGATTAAAGGAGCTTCTGTTTCAGCTTCTGCTTCAAGCCCTGGTGGGAGTTATGTTTTCTTGTTTTCTTCCTTCCAGTTTTTCTTGTGCTTTATCTGGAGAGAAGAAAAATGGAAGATTCATTCTTGTGATCTCCCACTGTGCTCTTTCTGGCTTTTTGAAATGAAAAAAGGGAGAGAGGAGGTGGGGAAAGTAGTGTTAAGCCATTATGGAAATGACAGACAGCCTTTACAGTTCTCATCTTTTGAGCATTACAGCTCTCATGCAGGTCCCTCCCTGTGTGCCATCTACCACATCACTTTTTAAGGACAAAATGTTATAAAAGATAAAACCCAACTTTGTGACATGCATTGAAGTTGATGGGAATTCTGCTACTGCCTTCAGTGCCCCTGTAGAGCAGAGACTGAAAAGTTGTCCCATTCCAATTCCCACTTGAATTTAACCTGGCTGTGTCGTGGGTTAGAGCTTTCAAAAATGTCCCAGGATTCCTCATCTGGTATGCTCACAGCTCCTTCATCGTCACTGCAGGTAGCACTGTCATATACTTCTAAGTGCTCGTGTCAGGAACACATTCTGAAATGGATGAGTAGCTTAAACTAATCCTACAAAACCAAAATGGATAAAGTCACAGTAAAACAGGAGTAATTTGAGTTTCACATTTTACTTGCTGCTTAGGCTTCACTTCTTATTTTAGTTATTAACCACCCTGGGAGATAAAACAAATTTCTTGAAAAAACATACAAATAAAGCAAGCTTCTCACTGCTTTCTGGTTTGTTTACTCCATACTAAAGAACAAATGAATGAAAAAGTTCATCACATTAGAGTATCATTAAAAAGTCCTTGCCTGCTAGATGCTGCCAGGCACATAAAGAAGCCCTTGAACAGAATTCTTTGCCTGTCCACACTAAACATGGGTGTGGAACTTGATTGTGGCTACTGAACTCTATAACTTTGGATTGCTGTCTTAAGTGCACAGGACTAATCTCCAAAGTGCCTGGTGACCATGCTGAACAGACCAGCCATTCTTTCTCAAACAAGGATGAGAAGTTATCTAGGGAGGAAAGTGAGGTTTTAACAACTTTTTTAAAGGGTTGGAGATTAAAGCAGGTTTCATTTAAACTCTCTTAAATTTAGGCACTTTTAACTATAGTGAAGCATCTTCCAAGTGATCAACTGAACAAAACACATGCATGGATTTGCTGCTAAAGCAAGACTAACACAAATGCTGCAGACAGCAAGTGGAGAGTGTCTCTGTGTCATACCCTGTTTTAATATTTTTTGCATTGGCAATATCTTTCCTGTAGCTGTTCAAGGCAATAATGAAGTCTCCATGTGGGATATGGAAACCGGTGATCGACGCTTCACTTTGTGGGCCAGCAGTGCACCACCTCTTTCAGAACTGCAGGTCTGGTCTCTTTCTTTTCCATTTTCTGTTGTGGGCTAGGACAACCTCAGACTCCATGCTGTACATCAGCACAGTTGCTGTCTCCATGGCCATGCCAGTTTGGCACCAGGAACTTGCCCTAGGATTTATTTTAGCACCGTAATTGTTTCGGTGTCAAAATTAAATCCTCTTTGTAAAACAGCAGTGTAACCCAAATCTTCATTGGTATCTTCCACTCTCTGTGGAATGTACCTATAATGCTTACTTGCTTACACATTCTTAGAAAACCAGTGAGCTGGTCAAGCCAAAGCAAAAATTCATTGTGTGGCATCTTGTACTTACTATTACTTGCTGTTTCTGGGATTGTGCATACTTCTGTAAGCATCTGCTCTTTTGCACATTATTTCTGTAATGTAATATCACTACTACACTTAACTGCTAGTTGAAAGCATGAATTTGCTCTTCCCCAAGGAGTTAGTTGGAGAATGAGCAGTCTGGGTTATAATTCTTAAAACACAAATATGTACACAGAAATAACCACAGCTGCTTCTATAAATGTTATAAATGCAGATCTGGAATCTACCTAATCTTGAATTTGTACACACCACAGAGATTGCAGGTTGAGTTAATTTTGGTCAAGCACTTTAAATGCAGGGAACTCTGTTATTCAGGCTAGTTTTCTGTTGTATATCCGTCCCTTAAGCATAAGAATTGGAGCATCCATGTGCTTTTCAGCATGATCTGCCTGTCTGGTTCTTCTAGAAATGATCTCTCTCATTTGCCATCATTGAGAATGTAACTTCCAAGATTCCAAAAAAGCGTTATGGAGAGTTAAATCTGTTGCACTGCTTTGTGAAATGTAAGAAAGCAATTTCACAGAATCACAGA